AAGCTCCCCCTTTTATGAAGTGAGAACTGGGATCAAGACCATTTGGGAGGCTCTGACCTTTGGAGAGGAGAACTCCACTTCACCTGTTACCTAGACACTGACCCAAGGCAACGTGTCGAGCTGCAGCCTTCTGCCATGGCTTCCCTCTGCAGACAAGAACTGGACTTGCCAGGAACCCAGGATAATTACAGCTGGAGTTGCAACACAAAATAAAGAACAACCCTTGCTGCGCACTTTCTTAGTTTTGTTTTTGTTTTTGTTTGATATTGCATGAGATGTGGATATCATTGTATTCTCAGAAGTAGTTGCAGACCAACGTCATTGAACTGGCAGGCTCTAATCTTCGGGCATTTTCTACTCAATGCTTGGTTTCAGCCTCAGTTAGAAATCTTTATTTTTGTCAAAAGCTAGAATATACATTACCAAGGAATATTACTCAGCCATGAAATGGAATAAACTATTGGAACATGCAACAACTTGGACAGACCCTCAGGGAATTTTATGCTCAGCAAAAGGTAACATACTGTATGATTTTATTTATAAAATATTTTGAAATGACAAAATCTTAGAAGTGGAAGACAGATAAGTAGTTGCCAGGAGTTAGAGATGAAGACGGGGAATGAAGGAGATTGGTATAGTTATAAAAAGGCTTCCTTGTGGTGGTGGTGGATCTGTTCTGTGTCTTGACTGTGATGGTAGATATCCAAACCTACCTGTGTGATGAAACTGCATAGAACTAAATACACACCCACATAAACAAGCGCAAGTGAAACTGGGGAGTGGTAGTAAGATTGGTAGATGGAGGGAGAAGGGAGTGAATGGGGAGTTGCTGGTCTAAGGGTTCAAAGTTACAGATGGACAGGAGGAATTGAGTTTTGAGATCTATTGCACAGCAGGGTGTCTACGGTGAGTAATAATATATGATATATTTCAAAAGAACTCAGAGTAAATTTCAAATGTCTCACCACAAAAAATGATACACAATCAAGGTGATGAATATGTGTGTATTAATTTGCTTGATTTAATCTTTCCATATGACAAACGTATGTTCAAACATCACAGTTTACAATTATGTATACAATTATGATTTGTCGATTAAAAATAATATTAAATTTCAAAGAGACACTATAATAATTTCGTAAAAGATTGGTGGATTAATGTCAGCATCCTAATTGTGATATTAAACCACAGTTTTGCAAAATAGTACCACTGGAGAAAACTGGGCAAAATGTTCACAGTACCAAGAAGGTGAAGCCTTTTTCTTATAATGGGAAGAAAGCATTTTTTTAAATATCAGATCAATATGAGGGCACCAACAATTAGGTTACAATGTTTGCATTTGTTAGGTAAAGTTCCTGTTGTAGTTGTGTCCCGAACTCAGGAGGTTGCCATATATCCTTACATTGTGCCCATTAGGTGCCCACACCAATCCCCCTCTGTCCTTTCCCCACTCCCATCTTCTCCCCCCACCCCCAGCTTGAATCAACATGAGTTTTTCTCTTACGTGGGCGTCTATTGGTTCATCTACCAGCTTCATATTCGTATTGAGTACATTGGATACGCGTTTTTCTATTCTTGTGATACTTTACTAAGAAGAAGGTTTTTCAACTCCATCCAGGTTAATACAAAGATGTAAGGTCTCCATCTTTTTATGACTGAATAGTATTCCACGGTATACATATACCACAGTTTATTAATCCATTCCTGGGTTGACAGGCACTTAGGTTGTTTCCACATCTTGGCAGTCGTAAACTGAGCTACAATGAACAATCTAGTACAAATGTCCTTATGATAAAATTATTTATTTTCTTCTGAGTTGATGCCTAGTATTGGGATTGCAAGACCAAATGGAAAGTCTATTTTGACTACTTTGAGGATTCTCCATACTTCTTTCCAAAGAGCTATGTTAGTTTGGGATCCTACCAAAAAAGTAAAAGTGTTCCCTTCTCTCCACATCCATGCCAGCATCTGCAGCTTTGGAACTTTGTGATGTGGGCTATTCTTACTGGAGTTAGGGTAGTTACTACTGGAGTTAGGGTAGGTACTTACTACTCAGGGTAGTTTTGATTTGTATTTCTCTGATGATGAGGGACAATGAGCATTTTTGCACGTGTTTCTTGACCATTTATCTGTCTTCAAAGAATGTTGTGTCCCTGTTTCTTGCCCAGCACTAGACAGGATTATTGGCTCTTTTTTTTGTTGATTAATTTTGAGTTCTCTATAGATTCTAGTTATCAACCTTTTGTCAGATCCATAACATGCAAATATCTTTTCCCATTCTGGAGGTTGTCTGTTTACTTTATTTGTTATGTCCTTAGCTGTGCAAAAACATTTTAGCTTTATTAAGTCCCATTTCTTTATTTTTGTTGTTGTTGCCATTGCCACTGAAGTCTTCTTTTAAAATCTTTTCTTATGCTTTCTTCTAGAATTTTTATCATTTTGTGTCTTAGTTTAAAATCTTTTATCCATCTTGAGTCAACTTTTGTAAGTGGTGAAAGGTACAAGTCAATCGCAGTCTTTTACATGTGGTTATTCTGTTCTCCCAGCACCATTTATTAAATAGGGATTATTTTCCCAGTGTATGCTTTTGTTTGGTTTATCAAAGATCAGATGGCAGTAAGAGGCTGATTTCATCTCTTGGTTTTCTATCTGGTTCCATTATGTCTATGCCTCTATTTTTGTGCCAATACCATGCTGTTTTGATCACTGTGGACTTGTAATATAACCTGAAGTCTAGTACAGTGATGCAGCTTTGTTTTTATTACTAAGAATTGCCAGCCGGGCATGGTGGCTCATGCGTGTTGTCCCAGCGCTGTGGGAGGCCGAGGCAGGTAGATCACCTGTGCTCAGAGGTTCGAGACCAGCCAAGACCCCCCTGAGCCAAATGAGCCAGAGTGAGACCCCGTCTCTACAACAACAACAGGACAACGAGACAGCCGGACCTTGTGATCCCAGCTCCATGGGGGGCAAGAAAACACTACAAGAGGAAGAAGAAATAAAAAAAAAAACCTTCAAAGTAATAAAGTTGAAATTAAAAAAAATTTTTAAAAAAAAAGAATTGCCTTGAGTAAATGAGGTTTTTTTTCTGGTTCTACACAAAACGAAGAACTATTTTTTCCTGTTCTTCAAAGTATGATGTTAATATTTTAATGGGGATTGCATTGAATCTGTAGATTGCTTTGGCTAGTACAGACATTTGAATAATGTTAATCCTTCCCAGCCAAGAGCATGGTATATTCTTCCATTTGTTAATGTCTTCTGATATTTCTTTTCTTAGTGTTGAAAGAAAGGTTTGTTTATTTTTAAACAGTCGCACTCTGTGGCCCTGGGTAGAGTTCCATGGCATCATAGCTCACAGCACCCTCAAACTCTTGGGCTTGAGCAATCTTCTTGCCTGAGCTTCACAAGTAGCTGCAACTATGGGTGCCCACCACCATGCCTGGCTAGTTTTTCTATTTTTAGTAGAGACAAGGTCTCACTCTTGTTTAGGCTGGTCCTGTACTCCTGAGCTCAAGCAATCTACCCGCCTCAGCCTCCCAGAGTCCTGGGATTACAGGTGTGAGCCACTGTACTGGCTGCAAAATCTGTTCTTTATTGTTTATTTTCTTTTTTTTTTTCTTTTGAGACAGAGTCTCAAGCTGTAGCCCTGAGTAGAGTGCCAAGGTGTCATAGCTCACGGAAACCTCCGACTCCTGGGCTCAAGAACTCCTCTTGCCTCAGTTTTTCTATTTTTAGTAAAGATGAGATCTCTCTTTTTGCCCAGGCTGGTCGCAAACTCATGAGCTCAAGCAATCCACCGCCTTGACCTCCCACAGTGCTAGGATTACAAGCATGAGCCACTGTGCCTGGCCCTTTTTTATTGTTTTCAACCAAAGAACTGTGACAGAGTCAAATAGAAAGACTTGGTATTATAAAGATGCAAATTATCTCTAAATTAATCTATAAGTCAATAGAAATCAAAATCATAACAGAAATGGAACAAATTTGTTTCAAAGTCTATCTGCAATATGGTATTCCACTGTAACTACACATTAGAATCACCTGGGAGCTATTAAAATGCTCTGTTCTCAGGCTGCCCCCCCCCCAGAGCAATTAAAAGGGGACCTCTGGGAATGGAATGAGGTTATCAGGGTTTATTAAAGTTTTCTGAGTGATTACAATGCACAGCTGAAGAACTACTGTTCTCGATGCATAAATATAAAAGAATAGCAAGAAGTTTCAGGAAAGAAAGAAAAATGAGTAGAATTGTCCTGTCAACAATTAAAATATATTATAAAGCTATAGTAGTTAAAGCTATAGTACTTGCACAAGAACTGACAAATCACTGAAACAAAATATATATTCCAAAAAAAGAGTAAAGTTCATCCGATTTAAAATCCTATAAAGATGGTACTTTAAATCAGTGGAGAAAAGGTAGACTACTCAGTAAATAAAATTGTGATGACTTGCTAACCACTTGGAAAAGTAAAACCATTAAAATAAATTCTAAATGAATCAAATGTTAAAAGAAGTTTAAGAAAATTAAAACTAGAAAAGTATGCTAATTTTGCCTGTATATATTCATTCTTCTTTTGGTAATAGTGCCCCCATTTTCCTTGGAAGCCATTACTTTTTAATTTATTTGATTGGAGATTGAGGAAAAAGATGAAATCATATGAACACTGATTAGGAACTAAAAAATGCAATAAAAACAATGACTATATAACTTGCTGCCCATCATGTTGGCAAGATAAAAAAATTATTGCTAATACCTATTCTTGGTTGTATATGGGGATTAGAAACCCTCAGAGGACATTAGCAAATGGAAGAACATACCATATTCCTAGCTAGAAAGAATCAAAATTGTTAAAATGTCCATACTACCCACCCAAAGTAATCTGCAAATTTAATGCAATCCCCACCAGTGTCACTCTTTGAAGAACTTGAAAAAACAGTACTTCATTTCACATGGAACTAGAAAAGATTATGAATAGCTAATGCAATTTTAAGAAATAAAACAAGTGCTTGCTTTGGCAGCACATATACTAAAATTGGAACGATACAGAGAAAATTAGCATGGCCCCTGCACAAGGATGATACAAAAATTCGTGAAGCATTCCATTTAAAAAAAGAAAGAAAGAAAGAAAGAAAAATAAAGCCGGAGGCATCATATTACCAGACTTCAGGTTATATTACAAGTCTACAGAGATCGAAACAGCATGGTACTGCCACAAAAATAGAGATATAGATCTATGAAATAGAATAGAGAACCTAGAGATGAACCCAGCTACATATCACCATCTGATCATAGATAAAACAAATAAAAGCATACACCAAGGAAAAGAATCCCTGTTTATTTTTATTTATTTATTTATTTTAGAGACAGAGTCTCGCCCCATCACCCTCAGTAGAGTGCTGTGGCATCACAGCTCACAGCAACCTCCAACTCCTGGGTTTAGGCAATTCTCCTGCCTCAGCCTCCTGAGTAGCTGGGACTCCAGGTGCCCGCCACAACACCTGGCTATTTTATGTTGTTGTTCGAACCCACCAACTCCGGTATATGTGGCCAGTGCCCTAACCACTGAGATACAGGCACCAAGCCTATTTGGAGAATTTTTAAAGAACTAAAAATAGACCTTCCATTTGATCCCACAATTCCATTATTAAGTATCTACTCAGAAGAAAAAAAATCATTTTACCACAAGAGCATTTGCACTAGAATGTTTATTGCAGCTCATTTCACAATCGCCAAAAACATGGCAGCAACACAAGGGCCCATCAACCAATGAATATATTAACAAACCATGCGATCAGGCATGATGGCTATGCCTGTAATCCTAGCATTCTGGGAGGCTGAGGTGGGTGGATTGCTTGAGCTCATGAGTTTGAGACTAGCCTGAGCAATAAAGCCAGACCCTATCTCTACTAAAAATAGAAAAACTGAGGGCTCGGCGCCTGTGGCTCAAGAGGCTAAGGCGCCAGCCATGTACACCTGAGCAGGCGGGTTTGAATCCCAGCCCGCCAAACAACAATGACAGCAGCAACCAAAAAATAGCTGGGTGCTGTGGTGGGCATCTGCAGTCCCAGCTAGTTGAGAGGTGAGACAAGAGACTCACTTGAGCCCAGGAGTTGGGAGGTTGCTGTGAGCTGTGATGCCATAGCACTCTACCCAGGGGGATAGCTTGAAGCTCTGTCT